GTTCGACAATCGTTGTCTCAGAACCATAGCTCGTGTGGGTTGGTGTCGGCGAATCCGTAACGAGGCAGTTGGAAAGCGCGTTTTCGGTTGTGTAACGGGTACTTCCGTTGAAGAATGTGTCCAGCACCAGAAGCTGCGTTGGTTGGGACACGTGTTGCGTATGCCGAACCACCGTTTGCGGAAGACAGTGCTGTTTTCCACGCCCAATTCAGAGTGGCGTAAGCAGAGAGGTGTCCAACCCCTGACATGGCAGAGAAGTATGAAGGAAATCACGGAACGCTTGGGTGCTGTCGGTGCTACTCGCCTTCCAGGATGGGGACCGCGTGATCCTCACTGTGCCTGGTTGGAGACACTACAAGATATGGCTGCCAACCGATGTCAGTGGCCTTCCTGTTGTCAGTTTCTATCCAAATTGCCTGAGTGGCTGTCTGGAGGTGTAGGCACCTCGGGAGGATTGTGTTAAGCTAGCACTAAATCCCTTCCCCGTTCATCTTTATTCTTTTCTTTACAATAAGGCTTTCAAATAAGTCATGGTTGTACGGCAGTGAAGCATCGGTGTTGGACACTGATGTCATCTTGTCGATGATGATAGTAATGGAGAACCTTGTGGAACCACGTACATCTTTCCACATTCTTATTCATAGTATTCGGCTGCTCTGTCACGATGTGCAAGCCCCACAGCCTTCGTGTCTTCTTGGCAAAAGACAAACACGTTAGCGGAAGAATCACCAGGTTGTAGGTATCACTTCTAGGAGGTCACCAACAACCTGCCGCGACCGGATTCGAACCTCAGACATTTGAGACAATCTAGTCACCATGGTTGCAGCTGGATTATACCATCGGTAGGGGTGAAAATCTTCCCCATTGATGAGTGTGATTGGTTTTCCAGATGACCCAGTAACGGTCCTGGTTGTACTGATTCGCTGACGCACCTGTCAGGACAGTTTCTGGCTTGCATTTGAAGGTGTCGAGAAACCAAGCAAGAATGCTGTGAAACGGTACCTACTCATAGCCAACTTGTTTCTTTACGAAAAAATAGTCAACAAACAGTAATAACAGTATATTTTTTGTAATGCACTGCTCATAAGGTTGCTGAAGCCCCCTCGACAGCCCACGACCGGTTTCGCCCTTCTTGGGGATCATCAGGTAGGCGTAGTCCCCAAGTTTCCGTCAACCTTATGCTCTACTTGAAACGGAAACTCGGGGACTGCGCCTACCTGATGATCCCTAAGAAGGGCGAAACCGGTCGTGGGCTGTCGAAAAGTTTTCAGCAACCTTGTGAGTAGTTTCCTTTATGAAGGAGTGACAAGAGTTCGAGGTTCCAGGTGAGTCTCCCGAAAAACCAAATTAGTTAGCAAATGAGTATATATTCAGCAATAACAGTACTCAATAAACAGGCATTGACCCGTTTGCTGTTTGCGAACAGGTAGAATTTGTGGAAGTTAACCATACCGTCATGTTGATGTTGAAGATTCCCCCCACACGTCTGAGTAGTGAGTGGCACAGTGGTTTCTGTTGCGTGCGCTCTTTTCAACATTTCACCCCACTTTCCCGTCTTCCCCAAAATATCCCAGTCGAATGCCAGCACACCACACCCAAACCATGGGAAAAACTTTCCAAAAAAATCAGCAGCCAAGTTATTCTCACTCAGAAATCTGCCATATATATATATTCCATCTCTCGCAGCTGTTTTTCACCAAATATTCCCATATCCTCCCCACACCTGGAAAGAATGGTCGGAAAGTGTTCAATTTTTTCTCTCAATCTGAAGCATTCCAGATGAGGTGTTCCCTTGCCAGTCTTTTGGTGGCAAGAGCACACCATTTTCTTTCGAGATAGCGGGGTGAACTCATCTGTCGTGCCTGTTCGCGTGTGTGTGTGTGTGTGCGCGCGAGGACAATCGTTCATTTAGCTCCGAACAACATCAGGAATGAGTTCTTATTCACTTTCCGCGAGTGAAGAGAAAAACAACCCGAGGTACATGAGAGACGCGTGAGAGTCACACACATCTGATCTGTTTGCAACCAACTTCCAGGAGCAAGCCAATACAATTCAACAAATTGCATCTCACCAACAGGTGTGGGAACAAAAGCCAGTGGTGACTTTGTCAGAACGCATCATGCTTTTTGGACATGAATTCTGTTGTGTCTTTCTCTTATCAAGTTGTCCATGTTAAACGAAATGTTCGCTGAAAAGCCCCACGTCCAACGTCACCCTGACGGATATCCTTCTCTTGTTGGTGATGAACACAACGGGAGTATTGGGAAACCATCCTGTTTGTACACTTCCAAGTCGCCTGATGAATACAGGATCAATCTGTGGAAACCTCCCGTGGAGACAGAGGTCGATATGCCACAGTCTTTTCGCGTCATCATCATCACCGTCGATAGCACGACGTCAGTGTTCAACACCGATGCTTCGCTACCTTTTCGCCTCGAAACACGTTACACTTTAAATCAGAATCGAAGTGACATTTTGACTGATCCCCTTACTTTTCCACCAAGAAATCTATACCTTCACTCTCTCGCCGAACTGCCATATGTTAGGGGATCTCAGTTAGATAGACATAAAGACTGCAATTTGGTCAGTTCATTGTCTTCACGGAACGGAAATGATTTGCGGATGATGTGATCCTCGTCCTCTCGTCTACTCACGGCAACGAGAAAGACAGTATTACCCACTTCGGTATCTGGATATAGGTACAAGAGCTCCGGTAACTATTGTTCCTTCCAGTCGAATCCCTTGAGTGATATGGGTACTGTCTGTCGAAACTTTGCAAACACACTACTCGACTCGAGGAACAAAACAGTTACATCTGCTGGAAGTGACTCACTTCGGGAAGACTGTTCACCAGGTTGTGACTAATGGGGGAAGGGGACTCCCCTTGAGCAGTTGCTGTATGTTGTTCGGCTAAGAACAGCACTATTCCTCAAAGATGGAGCGTACGAAAGAACGATAATTGGTTGTATACACCAGACTAGTTGTCAAATTTTTGTCTGGCCAATGATTTGTACTCATCTGTGAGGGTTTATTGGAGAAACTCGGTGCACGTCGATCTTCCTGTTGCCGCATAGAACTCGTGACGAGTGTTCCGCGTTGCGATGAGACTCCGCAGTGGCAGGGGATTCGTTCAGCTGTAACATCCCCACCCGGTTCCTAGCTGACACCTGAGGGAAGAACGAGGGTTGATATACTGTCAGGTTGCCCGGACAGGACCAGTCGGGATTCAGAGGTTGGGCTCGAACCACGGACCTTCTGGCCAGCAAATTTGCACTTTAACGATTTAGAAATCACGGGCAGGAGATTACACACCACTCATCCCTCTTGCCACCTAAAATTCAATGAAGTCATACGGTAAGGAGTGCACTCCCAGCCGGATCGACTGGTCCTTGAAACTAGTCAACAGGGAAGTCGATAAACGGATCCAACTATGGACAGAAATCCCACGCCCCTGACAGTCGCTTTTTCAGCATGTGTGGCGGTCCGTTAGGTGCCGTATTCCGATTGGTTGTCCGACTTCTGTCTGGATCTTCCGCTCATCGGAATGTGTTTTCGCTTCACGACTTCCGACATTTCAGACTTGTTCAGCTGCAATGCGAGATTGTGTCATGATGTACTACGGCGGCTAATCTGGCTCTCAAGGTCAGCTGTGGTACGTCCTTCCCGATAGGCCAATTTGAATGGACCAGATAGCTCCTTCCTTCTGTGCAACACTTTTTGTGGCAGCCACAACCACCGCACATGTACACGTTTAACAGCGGATGTCAATTAATTCAAACAAAAACCAAACAGACTTCATCCCAAAAGTGAAGACGAAGGAGTATGGTGCTCTGATAACGTAAAAAAAACGGCCGACCCCCCAAAAGCAATGGACCTCCGAAAATGGGCCCGCAACAGCGCTTCTCACCAGAAGCGTGCCACTCCCGCTACTCAAAATAGAGGCCACAGTTCAGAAGTGCCTAAATTTCCTTTTTCCCGTGACGGTTTCTCGACCAACTTGGTATTCAGCTTGAAATCATAGGCAGGGCCAAACCAATCAGCGGTTGCTTTCGAACAAAAATCTAACAGAACGCCATTTGGCACCATTCACTTGCGATCCCAAGTGTTCATGCAGCTTGTACCATCACGTTTGGTCAAGTGTTCCACATAAATATCGGATACTGAAACTTCCTGAGTAACGTAATGTATAGGGACGAACCAACTAAAGTAGACCACAAAATCATGAAACTCACCTTCCTATAAACATTGCCCTGTTTAGCAGGCGATGAAATCGTGGATGAACCGCGTAAAATACCTTAGGTGGGATATGTTACACAACCATCGGTGCAAATGGGTAGAGAAGCCGGAAGTTGGCAACCTCTGTCAGTGAATAACCCGTCAAACAGATTGCGAGAGGCGTAGAAACCCGAACAAGTCGCACAACCGAATGAAGATTAAGGAGGTGCAGATGATGCCTCTCAACACTTGGATAAGTTGAACGCCAAATGGAATAGAGAAGAGAACGCAAGCAGAAAGTTGGCGGTCGGCGTCAAACGGATCACGATAAGCGTAGAAACCCGAACAGGTCGCATAGCCGAATGAAGATTACGGAGGTGCAGGTGATGCCTCTCAACGCTTGGATAAGTTGAACGCCAAATGGAATATATAAGAGAACGCAAGCAGAAAGTTGGCGGTCGAGGCCAATAACTATTGATCCTATTGAAGTACCGGTGAAAGGAAGGTCTTTGCTGCGGAGTTATTAGAAAATGCCAACCAACCAGTTAACAGACTGTTGGACAGGGAAGCAAAACTCTCATTTACAAAAACTGGACATCCATCTTCTCCTGAATACGTCTTCTTGAACCTTCCTGGATATTCATTGACTCCAATCCAAGCAAATGCTACAAAGTGACTCCACAAATTCTGCAACAGATCTTTCCTTTTCAAGAGACGCAAAGCGAATTTACAAGAACAAAACATATTACTCGCATGCCTCCCCATCAGTAGTATCATCGTTACACCGGTAAGTAGTGCATATTTCTCTTGTTGAAGGGTTCACCATTTGGGAAAACGGAAACAATGGTGAAACCCAGCTATGGGTAGCCAAACTCCCCTTGAAATCAAAGATATTTTCAAAGATTTCGATTACAAAATAATGTCAACGCAAACAATTATGTTCTACGAAAGTTCGTAGTATAAGGTCAGACAAGAGTGGATAGAACGGTCGACACAGGAACCAGAATTCCTCAACTGGCAGATTGGTAAGCCAAAGAAATACAGATTAGAATAAGCCGAGGCGTGATGTTCTTGTCATTTCATCAAAGATTTCACGATAAACATGCAGGGCATGTGCCACTAGAACAAAACAGGTTTTTGATTAGCTAAACAATCAAGAGGCGCTGGGAATGTTTTTTTCACATCAGTAGTGTTGCCTGCCGCTAGAGCAACCGACCAAAACGAAAAGCCTCCATCTTTGAGAGCTGAGATCTTTCTAGCTCGATCGCGACCACATGTTGCGGAACCAATGGCAATCGGTCAGGAACGGCGATCAATACACACTAATCGCTAATTCGGAAGTAGTCAAATTAAAATACACGGCCGATCCACCGGTAGTGGAGTTCCTCATCCGAAAATTCGCTGTAAAGAGTAACCAGGTTACGTTGTCACGATAACTGATAAAAGGTAACGGAATATTCTTCACAATAGAAAAAATAGACGCTCGTTTCAATGACGGTATGCCGCGGATATTAGCAACTAGACCTATTCACAACAGGACCAGTCGCCAAGATTGAAACAGACCTCAACAGACCGATGAGAGGCGAGATCGGATGAAAATCCCCATTCAAGGGGGTTGGGTGTCTTTAAGAATGCTGCGAACGACGCTTATCCGCGAGTCACATGTATGGTCATCACTCGTATGCGGACCGTCCATTGGAAGGACCAAAAGTGATCGAAGATGGCCCTTACTTGGAGGAAGAGATTTCTTTATACGTTTTTGCTTCCACGGTGGTCCAGCCACTTCACCAAACAGATGAAATGACGTCTTATTGCGAACAAGCGTATCAGTGAGTGTGCTTTATTTACAAAGGGTATTTTACACAGGGGGTCAAAAAATGTTGATTAACCACAGTTCGAACAGTCTCGCTGCAGAAGTGAGCAAAAATACCGCAAACCCAAGCAAAGTGAATTGATATACGACCGAAGAGGTAAAAGTCAACAACCGACCAAACATCTCAGCAACAATCCTTCGCCTGAAACGTTATGTGAATAGGCTTTTCACCCTGACGCTGCTTGAGAATAGAATTGGGATCAGTTTCATCCCGTGTGAGTGAAATTCACCTTGGCTTCCAGCGAAACGGAATCCCGATTTTTATTATCTGGCAGTTGAAATCGTCAGTTATATGCTCCATGAATAGTAATCAACCACTTAAACCTGGATGGAGCGCACCGGTATGGTAGACTCTGTCACACAGGTCACGCTCCGTCCAAACGTTCCAATTACGTCACAACACGAAGGTGGAAATGACCAAGCATTCGCAGTTGGATCATTCGGTTTCCGATCAGGTGGTGTCGAACGTGGACAGTCTGTGAAATTCACGCGACAAGTATTACGTTCTTTAGATCACAATTATTTTGGCTGCTTACAGAGATTATAGTTTAATGGGCTCACTGAGATTCTAAAATCTCGACAAAAATTTCAAAACACCTCCCCCCGATACATAGAAAACGCCAGGGAAAAAGTTACACAATTCGTATGAGCGTTGAGTCTGAGAAATCGGCACTTGAGGGGACAGCCAACACTGGATCACGTGAAGCGAACCGTGTGACTGAAGTACAACTGGTGCTTTGTCCTTTCACACTGATGATCCGCTACAGACCACAAGGTCGTTGGCTGGAAATTCCATCAAGATTCATGAGACGCACACGATCTTTTCCAAAAAGGGATAAAACAGCCCCTCTAGGCTGCTAAGCAAAGATCAACTTTGTCCACAGGATGAAGCATCGATTGGGAATTTGGTAGTGTTTACGGCACACTAATCGTTCCTGCCTAAACAGTGTGCATGCTCAACTTTCCGAAAGTGTGGTTTTTGATTTCGAATTATTCACCAACAATCAGATTGCCTAGAAAATAGTCAACCGCTGAGAGTCACATTCACTCTGACAAATCTGTATGCACCCACCAGATCATGGGTTTATTATAGACCTTATGTTCCTTTATTATTATTTATTTAGTTATTATAGACTACTACTATTAACCCATTGGACACAGTCCGGACAATGCCATTAGCCCTGATGGGTTGACCACTGTTTGAACAGCGAGGTCACACTGACCAGAAAGATGATACCTGCGTTTCAGGCGACACAGAGAGAAAGATGGAGTAGTATGTCGAGAACGATATCGGCCACTGTAACACCCTTTCGGCACCTAGCTAACATGCCACCAGAAGGAAGCACAAGGGCTAGGATACTGCCAGGTTGCTCAAGTCTAGTAGACAGGGGAAGGCGAGAGGCAGAAGTTGGGTTCGAACCACGGACCTTCCGGTTAGTGAATTCGCGCTCTAAACCACTGAGCCATCTCGGCTACTCGGGTGGACATCAGTTCGCATTCATATTCCAAGTCCATGAACCAGACCGAGATCCAGCCAACAAAATACCGCATGCAAACACCATCATCGTCATCATTAAAGATATCAGGGTTGACACTGGAGCTTCACTGTCGGACCCAACCTGAAAACTTAACTGATTCAGCAGTGTTGAGCGGAATCCCCTGTTGTCCGGAGGATGGAGTCTTCGATTATGGCCCACTGCTTGAATAGGAAGCAGTCAAAATGTGTATAAATTATTCCCTATCCAATGAAATGGTCACCAGTGGTGTACGATGGCGTCATTTCGTTCAAAAATACTGGCGCAATTATACACTACTTACCAAATTTAAGTAGACGGAAATTAACTGGTCAGCTTCCATGTGGGTAGCAGAGCTGTTTACGCACGGATAAGAATACAACGTTGAAAGCCACAGATGGGAAAAACTGAGGGCTATTCCCATAAAAGAACGAGCCGACGTAATGTATGAAAAATTCGCGTTTCTATACAGACAAACCATTTGACGCTTCAATCAACTGGCACAAGTGATATGGTCTTTTTGTCCAACACGTCCAACCACGTCATGCTTCACCGAGGTTGCAAGGACCAGCTGAATCTGATAAATACCCATTTATCCTTATCAAGTATTTTTATGTTCTTACAAGATCCACTTACTTTGTGAACGGCCCCAAATCCTTTTCAGTCTTACAATACGAACAGCCGTTAAGCTGTTGCACCTTTCAGGTGCATAGCTGCCATGTTATTCGAAGGAGGCAAGAGGGGGGTGGGGAACTACCATGTTGCCCAGAAACAGTGAATTGACTGATGTTGGGTTCGAACCAAGGAAATCAAGGTTTGCGCCTTAACCACTAAGTTGTCTGGAGCTTGCGTGGCAAATAGTCGCCTGAAGCCTGATAGTGAGTGAATGGGCCACCGGCTCAGACAACGCTTGGAGGCATACGAAAGGCTAGGAGTGAACCATTGAGATGAGACGATTCGGCCTCATACGGCTCAAGAATTGAAATCACCATCGTAGACATGACCCCGGAACTTCAGGTGACCTGATGGCTCTATGTGGATTGTATCGAAAATCAAACAGAGAAATATGAAAGGGGAGATGTATTCTAATGCACGGCTGACGAAAGACTAAACAGAACCACCGGCTTCGTCATCAGCGGTACAGATAATCTGCTTTCAAATTTTCCGCGATCTCCACTTCCCATCGATCACCGTTTTGTAGGAGCTTTTCTTTGTTGTACAACAATTCTTCGTGAGTTTCCGTTGAGTATTCAAAGTTGGGGCCCTGTCAAAAAGTGGTGAGAGGGTGGGAGAGAACATTCGATGAGGTTTGGCAGGCAGACGGATTAGGAGAAGGGGATGGGAAAAAATCACATGAATGGTAGCATATGCCTCAACGAACTGGTGTAACGGTGATACTACTGACGGGAGGGTATGCGAGTAGTATGTTTTCTCGTAAATCCGCTTTGCGTCTCTTGAAAAGTGAGATCTATTACGGAATTTGTAGAGTCGCTTTGTAGCATTTGCTTGGACTTGAGCGACTGTTAATGAATAACCGGAAAAGTTCAGGAAGACGCGTTCAAGGAGAAGATGGATATTCAGTTTTTGTAGACAAGATGCATGTGAAAGTTTTGCTTCCCTGTTCAATAGTCTGCAACTGTTCAGTTGACATTTTCTGGTAAATAAGTCCGCATCGAAGGCCTTCTTCCTTTCACTGGTATACTGCGAATCCATAACCGGCAGTGTTCACCTCACCCCTAGCCCAAACATTTGACGCTTTGTACTACGTACGTGCGTAAAGGGATAAAAACAACAAAGACAAATAAGGTGCCTTTGCAAGAACGAACTTCCCTAGCTCGGCTATTCGTACACCAAGAGGAAGTGCTACTTTAGTCCGAACGAATTCTTCAAACAAGGCATGACTGGTCTGCATTGTGCAAGGTGTTAGACGGGCCAAAGCGAGAAAATTTCAGCTGCTCATAGCCTGCGTTGACCTGGTCGACGGAATCAAACCAAAGCTCCTCAATCGTACTTGAAGATGGGCATCGCTACAACCGGCCAAGTAGCACTGGATAAATCAGTCGGAATTTTCGGCCATCTGTTTGGACGATTCCGGTATACGCTATTGAGGTAGCGGTTGCCTTAAATTCCCGATGCTCGCAGTTAAAACCCACGACCGCTGATGAGCCCCAATAAGAGCAAAACTAGAGTGCCGTGTATCCCCATTCCGGTTTGGAGCAACCCAAATTATTCCTACCACTGAAACGAAAAAGCCCTTCGCTGCCGAGTCGTTTATTGAAAAACACCAAGTGAACAGTTAAAGGACAGGAAAGCAAAACTCTCATATGCAATTAGTTTTTGAAAAATGAATATCCGTCCTCTTCTTGAACTTTCCTGGATATTCATTGTAAGCGAATGCTACAAAACAATTCCACGAATTCCGTAATAAATCTCACCTTCTATTGGATCAAGGCAGAGTTACGAGAAATCACAGACTGCTTGCATGACTCATCAGTAGTACCCACCGTTACACCACTAGCATCGTCATCATTGACAGCAAAACTTCAGTGTTCAATACCGACTCTTCGTTGCAGTACAATCGGTTTTTGTTGTTGTCAGTTTCTATGGAGGGTGTCTGAATGAATGTCTGAGTGTGTAGGCACCTTGGAGTGATTGTGGTATGCTATCACTCATTCGCTACCTCACTCACCTTTATTCTTTTCTTTGTAATAAAACCTTAAAATTAATTGACTGCGCAACAGCGAAGCATCATTGTCATGCTATCGATGAGATAAAATTTCTCAGCGATAGATCAAACTGGGGGCAATGAGTAGGGTATGGCAGATGGGCTGATCCCAGCGACGGGAGGACTGTAGTCGTTGAGGGCCGGTAGCCGAAGAACTGATAGGTCGAACGATAGTTCGCGGTAGACGGTAGCCGAAGAACGATGTTTGAAAGCTTGACACACAAGACAGTGGGGGCATATAGGATTCCGTTGGGTACGCCTTCCCTAGGCGCCTACTTAAAAGCCAGGAACTCCATAGTCCGACCCATTTGGTTTGAGGCCGCAGGCAGTAAGACAAGCTTGTCTGATTCCCAATACGGCTGCATAAAGTAAGTACCTATACTCTGAAAAATGTCAACCGTATTGACTAATGCGCCCGTGGTCACGGTCAACCATAGGGAGACCGGAGTGTGCGGTTTTTAGGGCTCACGCATTCTAAGCCTTTCTGCCTTGGGGGTGGACAGCATTATCGTTTACGCAAATGTGGCATGACGCTCACCCGATCATCGTCGAAATCAAAATCATTCAGCTGTAACACTCTCCAGGTACCTAGCTGCCATCCAAAGGAAGCACGAGGGCTGAGATACTGCCAGGTTGCCCAAGCCTAGACAGGGAAAGTCGAGTAGCAGAGGCCGGGTTCGGACCACGCTCTAACCACTTGGGCCATCTCGCCCCATTATCGTCATCGTCACCATGATCATCACCAGAGACAGCAACATCAAGGTTGACACCAATGCCTCACTGCTATCAGAGTGAAAAGCAAAAAAAGAGTGCGCGAGGAAGGGGACCTGGCGCTCGCCTACCGCAAGCATTCTGAGATGCATACACCTCCAAGTGTTCAGCCAGACAATTCGGAAGCTGAAAGCACGAACGCCACCAATATTGATTAGTTGCAATGTCTGCAGCCAAGCGCAGGAGGGTTCATATGGACCGCAGTAACACCCAAACTCTTCGTAATCTTTTTCACACCTTTCTCCCAAGTCGCAAATTATTCACCTCGCGGTTTGCGGCATTCTGAAAGAGGCAAGGGGAACAAAACTCGTCTTGGTAGGCGGCGTTTCGGTATGCGTTGAACACAAAGTGCAAAGCACGTGATGGATGATGGTATGGTCAACCTATTCAACAGGCCTTGTGCTTCGCCTTCAGAGATGACGACATCGTCTGCGCACTCCAGAGTTTTCGTTGCCTTCCACTGTCCACTTCAATATGTCATTGACGATGACATTGCACGAGAACGGAGAGTGGATATTTTTGTCTGGCACCCAATTCCGTAGGGAAGCTTTTAGAGGACTCACCAAGCAATTTAATACGCCCACAAGTACGTGAATATATGGGCCGGATTGTGTTCACAGATTTTTGCAGCATGCCCCATTGGGCATGTGTACTGATCGATCAACAGAATCAAACGCATCCTTGAAGTCAAGGTATAACAGGATTGTGGGTCGTCTGTACATACAGCGTTGCCCTTACACTTGATGGGGTATGAATATGTGGCCGAGACAGACCCTACACTACTGAGATTCCGATTGAAAGTTTCGCGTTTGCGCAGTAGACAACGAAGAACCAGTGACACCAGAAACTTTGTTACAACGGGAGCCAGATTGACACCTCTGTCGTTACCATACTCACTGCGAGTACACTTTTTGAAAACTCACCCCAGTTGTCTGAAACGGTCTCCTCATAGACGGACAAAAATAGGCTGTACGGATAGCCTGAGGTATTCACCACTATCCTCGAACCGAGTAACTAGAACGTCGTCAGGACCAGCAGCACGATGACGCTGGAGTAGAGATACACACCAGGACACTTCTGAGGCTGACAGGGATTCCAATTTCAGAGCTCACCTTTCTGCCGAATGTCGGCAGTGTGGACTAGAGGTGACAGGTGGCCAATCGAACTGTTGTTCGAAGTACTGTGCCCGAAGGTCCAAAGCTCTCCTCTGATGGACATCAGGGGGCCAATTTCGTTCCTGAGGGGTTCGCTGATAAGGCTTCCGAGGACCAGTCGAACAAATCACGTGAGACAGTTTGCGGACGTTTCCAGCACTTTCTGTGTCTAACACTTCTTTGGCCTTTCGAAACTAACAAGCTTCTCAGTCTGTACGGACACTCAGGATCATCTGGCGTCGGAGGATATGTTAGATGGAGTCGTGGAGGCATCTAGGAGGAATGTTGCCGGGCCTCCAGCAAATACACGGTTTTATCAGAGATCTAATGTTTGGATGAGGTTGGATGGGTTGTACCGCAAACAGAAGTTATCGCTTTGAGTAGTGCTTTGGAAATCTTTTCCCAGTGGTCATTTATACCCAATGACGGACGGTTCGGCAAGTGTTCGAAGAGTTGGCCCTGATAGTTTCGTTTGATTTCTGCATTCACCAGCTCTCAATGACTAAGCAAGGTGTGCGCGTTTTGCGTAGACCTGAAAAGTGTAGTAAAAAGCAGCAGCGTAAAAGTATATGGTCGGAGTCCACGCTGGCGTTCCAGAAGGAGCGGCAGGCGGTGATTGACCATCACCACCGATAACTGACGGCGATGTGGTCTATTTGAATTCGTGGCGGTTTGTTGGTGGGCACCACGTTGTCAAGCAATTTTTGCTGTTCCGGAAACTTGTACTGCAAAGGAACAGTCTGTGATCGGCACACATCTGAACCAGGCGATCTCCGTTGTCCGTGGGTCTTATGTCCAGTCCAAGAGAAACACCCAATCGGGCCTCAGCAGCGCTCAGTCTACCCACCTGGGCGTTCATGTCACCAGAAACTAGAACCCGCTGTATAAGGGCACCTAGAGTGTAACAGAAACTGTCTTTGGCGAATTTCAGAGCTACAGTCTGTTGGAGCGTACTCAGACACAATTCTAGATTCTCTAACAAACGTTGCCAGACGAATCACGCAGAGGCGACTATCAACGAGTATACAATTAACCAGAGACGCTTCCAATCAATACAGTACTCACCCCGCATCACCAGAGGTGCTCAGTCGAAAGTTGGAAGAGAGCGAAGAGGCATTCAGTTCGATCGCAGTATTTGCTTCTTGTATCCTTTCTCCTGACAGACAGAAACACATCATTGAAGAGGAAATCCAGCGTACGAGCAAGAGTAGTTAGTTGTCCTGCTTACTTCAGTGTGTAAACACTGAAGGAAACTGAGTAGACCAGCTTCCGGGGTTTAAAAACAGACAGCGAACTGTTTAGGGTTGTCGATGAAGTCTCACACACAGAAACTGCAGCTGAACGCGATCCATGGCGAACGAAGCGGTAGTCTTAGTGCCGAAACCCGCCAAGACAGTATTCGAATTGGGGTGGGGTAGGGCAGGAGAGGGAATACCTGAAAGTGTAAGAAGGGAGGCGTCAGCAGCCACATGTTCTCGCTTACACACTGCTGTATGCAGCAAGTAAGACGACCCGGCCGGTGAGTCCAGGCGACGGCCAATGTGGCATGAGAGTATTGTCAGTTGTGTCGTATTTGTGCATGGGCTGGAATGCTACCACAGCGCCCACGCCCAG